AAATATCTCACCAGAAGCATAGACACCTTCAGGGTAAGTTGAAACATGCGGCCACGCCTACCCGATCTCGGGGATTTCGAGTATAGATATCGTCGAAAGGAAACGCAAAACTCACCTTGGGACATACAGTCGGCTTTATTGGGACCACCGTGACTGACTGTGCGCGGCTGATGACCCAGCCCCTCGACCTGAAGCCGATGGCGATTGAAGCCCACACAGGTCAACGAACGGGGCGAGCTCGTTTGTAATGGCGAGGCACTCGTCTTTCTTGTTCATTTTGGACCTTTAGCGCGTATCGAAAAGGCTTCCAAAGTTTTGCGTGCTGAGGTCTGGGACTCTCGCATCGTATAACTTCTAGACTCTGACGACGGCTACTAGCCGAAACGTCAGCCCAATAAAGAATTAACACCTTGGTTGTGGCTACAGAAACTCATTGAAGACCTGCCTCAGGCTTGGCGCAAATGCCGTTCATACATCGCTTACAACGCACCGTCGCCGCAACGTGGATCTGACAACCAATACACGGTTTTTTTTCTTGAGGCGACACGCAAGTTGTTCTTTGCGTCTTTAACCACTGAGTGCCTTCTTTTATTATACCTATTGACATAAATACATTGAATTAAGTAGAAAAACACCTGTATAAACTCTCCTTGTGCAACATCAATAAATATCGGAATTAACAGTAATTTGGCCTCCAAACAAGTGTGTTAGTAGGTGAGTGAACTTGAACATTTTCTATAACTCTACTAGTCGATGAACTCTGCTGCACGTCTCTCAGCAGTGTTCTTCATCAATAAAACAACACTGTTGCCTCGAAAACCATTTAACGGCATTTCTAACAATACTGGTGGTGATTAGCTGGCGAATTAGTACAAGGTTAGGTGGTTAACAACCAGAAGCTCAACGAACAATCACAACATAATCTTCTAACCGACTAGAAATTCAGTCCATTGATCCACTGGACGCGGTTACACTCATACAATCAAATGGAATGAAATCGTGGAATTTTATACACAGAGATAAGGGGCGTCTATGAGACGAACATACTTCACACGCAGGAATCTCATTCAGAAACAGCTGGTATTACCAGCGATCATCGCACCGCCACAATTGCTAGATAGCTACAATCGAACTGGGTACGGTGCATCTGCAGCTCCGTATGGTTCTTAAGAGTCCTTCGTGTCCAAGAAAGCGCCTACGGCTCCTAGATATCCTTCGTGTTTCATGAATAAAGCCTCCATGTTGCCCTGAAAAAAGTGAATGAACTGAACAATAATTCGGCGGAGTAAAGTAATCGCGACCTTGGACATCGACTTGTTTCAAAGCTGTGATCATCATTTTCATGTCCTTTCGGTTTCTTTCTACCAAAGGCCACTTTGTTTGTCGGGGGGGGGGGGGGGCAAGGCGGGGAGCCCAGCCTTTATGGAGCTTCGACGATCAGAGTCCCCATGAGATCTCGTCTGCGCTAAAGAGCCTTTAAGCCTTAGGAAGCAAGAATCCAATTAGCCGCGGGCTACTCTACTAACGCCAGTAGCGCCGGCATGCGGAACTCTTCGCTGGAAGATGTGAAAAAAACGGTTATGAGCCTAGGGATGAGAATTTTCGCCTACGTCTAGGTTAGGAAAGAGATACGAGGCTAGGGGGTTCGCTCCATTCACCTCTGAGCTCCTCTCTGCCCCAGGCCCAGGGGCAGAAAACTTTTTCAGACCGTTCACGACAAAAGGATTTTCTAGTGAGCCTACGCCTAAATGTCCCGGCAGTCTACACTAGCACCAAATAAATAAATCACTCAATGTGGTGAAGTCAGCGGCCAGTCCCGGGAGTTAATCTCTCCCTAGGCAATCAGGCCTTCCCCCCCTCACCGCCACGAGGCCTCGGTCTTATCCCCCAGACGAAGGTGGAAGGTAATTTAAATTAAACTCGTCTGGGGAGATGAGAACTGTGACTTTAGGATGGCTGGCCTCAGAAGCCCTTGCATTTAACACATCTGTTTTGATTTTTGATATGCAGCTGTGAAACTTCAGGTCCATATCAAAAAAGAGAACTGGGGAAAACAGGGGAAAACAAAATGCTTGTAGTTATAGACTCACTTTGCTCCAATAATTAATAGCATAAGATAACGTTCGCATAGTAATCGGATGTTTCCGAATGAAGAACCCGCCAAAGTATATCCGTTTCAAAGTAAATCGCATGCCGTACAGCATTGCCATCTGAAGCTATGCTGTTGAAATCCAGAAAAAAAATGCAAATTATTTTTCCAAAAACGTCAACCTACCTGTCCAATGTTATTACTAATCATTAGCAACAGTGATTTCGCGATATCCTGTTGAGAAGCTTGTTCATGATCTCCTCGAGCGTTTCGTTTGCCCATTCGACTACACTTTCCGAATGAGCCGGCAATCAGGTCCGCAGGCAAGTTTAGATTGTCATAAGAACCACCGTAAATATCGCAAACCTATAATGTGAGCAATCCATTATCCTCTAAAAAACCCCTATACCAACTTATTACACTGCTCAGTCTAGGCTGATCGTATGAACGGTGACGGTCAGTCAATCATCGTGTATCCTTTATTAGTGCGCCCCTCTTTCTAAAATATGATGACGAAGGGTCCATAAGTGAGGAAGTTACAATGATGTGCCTGGCTCCGCCCATACGACCAGCTCGAACGGAAGCTGCCATGCAGTGATGGCAGAACTAATCTTCCTTGACATTTCACAAAAGAAAATTTGTTCCAGAGAATTTCAAGGTACACCATCAAACGTACTAATGTATCACATTTGCGATGATCTCCTTTCTCCGCCATCAGCAAGAGCTCATCGAAACCTGAAGCTCATGAGGTTTTCTTATGAAGGTAACAAAGAATAAATCTTCTATTAAGAAAAGCCTACTCTGTGCTTGTGTCAGAAGATTGCCGAGACCGATAAATGCACCTCCACCCATCGAGCTACCACCAACTCTTTGGAACTGCGTTGGTGAATCAACCTGAAACAGTAACACACTTTCTCGATGGTACTTGTCGTGCAAAACCGCGTTCACACTACAGTTTCAGCGATCGAGGTGTGGTTGTAGACTCGTGCAATTATACTATTTGCGAGCGGCTGTTACAAAAGGGAGGGACTTAGCTTGAAAAAGATAGTCACAGGCTGTAACTAGCGAAATTTGGAGGTTTCTCGTGAGAGTACTGTACTCGCACGTCGCCTAGCTAGCTATCTTAAAGCTATCAGATGTCAAGAGCACCGCTACGAAAATATCAACTGACCTTCAGAATGGAGATCCCGGTTCCAATATTAACTAGCAAGAATGGATAGATCAAATCAGCAGTAATCGGCTTGTACTGATATCTGAAAATGCACGTCAAATCAGGGTCTTGAAACAGAACAGAATTTTTGGTGCACTCAAGGGCAGAGATAGAGCATTGGCAATTGTGTCACTACCCTAGCCGCAGCCTGCGGATCGGATCCGTCCGGTGTCATCTGAAAGGATAGGCAGAATCAGGGCGCCGTGCTGATGGTATAGAAAATTGCTCTCAGTAGCATGACCTATTTCCTTCTCTGCTCTGAGTTC